GAAAGATTTCTTGGTTTTTTTTTTTTTTTTTTTTTTTTTTTTTTTGTGAGTTGGATGGGTGTTTTGCGGGTTTTTGAGGAACTATTGGCCACCCTCCATATTGTAATATCTTTTTTGATGAAATAAAATTTCCAACTGGATTATTTATAAAAAAGGTGATCATAAAATGCTTATGAATAATCATGCTACCGAAAAATAAGTGGGTAGTTTATATATCTCTCCCAGCATAAATATGTTATGGATCTATTAAATGAAACCAATATGATAGAGTGTAAGTCGTGTGAAACTCTAATTGAACGAAGGTCAACTTAGACTTTAATGAAAGAACTAATGTAAATAAAGGAAAATACTAAAAGTAATCAAGTTGTTGATATATTCAGTGAAGGACTCTGCAGCACAACATTTAGAAGTATCATAAGCAAAGTTAGAATGGTACATCTTTATCATCCAATTAAAGGGGAAGTGTCAAATTTTTGCTCCCGTCATAACAAAGAGTTTAAGGCACATAGATCAAGGCTTTTTTACTTTGGATCTATTTACTTGTGAGCAAATTATTTAAGGCACATGGATTTAAACTCTATACCATGAGATATATCTCTCTATGATTCTCAAATTGTAATCTTGTGCTTTTCCAAGGGATTGCTAAATATTTTTTCTCCTTTTTTATTTTATTCTTATTTTATCATGCTTATTGGAGATTTTATATATATCCTTTCTTATACAAAAAAAGTGAAGTCCTTAATAATTTATTCTATTGTTTTATTTTCTACATCTATCATTAATATTACAATTCTAGACCAAAAGCTTATCAATATCAATTTTCACTTATTCTTTCCTCTTCAAATATTGATCAATTTGATGAACCTTAATACAAAAAAAAATTTAATATTAATATAAATAATTGAAAATTTTTTAATCAAATGTCTATAACATTAACAATCAAAGCCTAATAATTTAATATCAAATAGTAAGCTAATATAAATAGATGTAAATAAATATATAAGTAATATAGGCACAGGCCATTTTTTAAAAAATAAAATTACATTATCGACCTTTTTAAGAACAAAGGCATCCTGTCAATCATTTTTTAAAATAAATACACACTATCAGTCTTTTGCAGGCAGAGCAGAGAAGCATATACTTATATATACCAAGAGAAAGGATGCTTCGGGGAGAGAACTAGCAGTGGTGACTACAAAATGATAAATATGCTAATTAAGATTATCTTAAAATGGCAAAAAATATAATAATGATATTTTTCTATAGAAAAAAATGAAATTAATAGAAGAAAATATATAAAAACGAAAAAATTTTAATTGAATAAATTTATATACATGTAAATTTAATAAGAAGTGCAAGACTTACATTAGCATAATCATGATAATCAAGTTAAAGTTTACAATGAGATAAAAAAAATAGTATCATAAGCAAAGTTAGAATGGTACATCTTTATTATCCAATTAAAGGGGAAGTGTCAAATTTTTTCTCCCGTCGTAACAAAGAGTTTAAGGTACATAGATCAAGGCTTTTTTACTTTGAATCTATTTACTTGTGAGCAAAATATTTAAGGCACACGGATTTAAACTCTATACCATGAGATATATCTTTCTATGATTCTCAAATTGTAATCTTGTGCTTTTCTAAGGGATTGCCAGCTCCTGTTAAATATTTTTTCTCCTTTTTTATCTTATTTTTATTTTATCATGCTTATTGGAGATATTTATATATATCCTTTGTCATACAAAAAAAAAAAAATAAAGTCCTTAATAATTTATTCTATTGTTTTATTTTCTACATCTATCATTAATATTACAATTCTAGACCAAAAGCTTATCAATATCAATTTTCACTTATTCTTTCCTCTTCAAATATTGATCAATTTGATGAACCTTAATACAAAAAAAAATTTAATATTAATATAAATAATTGAAAATTTTTTAATCAAATGTCTATAACATTAACAATCAAAGCCTAATAATTTAATATCAAATAGTAAGCTAATATAAATAGATGTAAATAAATATATAAGTAATATAGGCACAGGCCATTTTTTAAAAAATAAAATTACATTATCGACCTTTTTAAGAACAAAGGCATCCTGTCAAACATTTTCTTAAATAAATACACACTATCAGTCTTTTACAGGCAGAGCAGAGAAGCATATACTTATATATACTAAGAGAAAGGATGCTTCGGGGAGAGAACTAGCAGTGGTGACTACAAAATGCTAAATATGCTAATTAAGATTATCTTAAAATGGCAACAAATATAATAATGATATTTGTCTATAGAAAAATAAAATTAATAGAAGAAAATATATAAAAATGAAAAAAAATTTAATTAAAATAAATTTATATACATGTAAATTTGATAAGAAGTGCAAGACTTATATTAGCATAATCATGATAATCAAGTTAAAGCTTACAATGAGATAAAAAAAGAAAATATTTGTTGGTTTTTAAAAATGAATGTAGCACAAATGAACTTTCCAAAGAAAGGGAGAACTAATTGGATAATGCATAAAAATGTAAGTGAAGCGATAAATTATTTATTATTATCATAAGAATAAAAGTTATAGAATATCAAAGAGTCCAATCTTAATAAAGTTTCGTTGGGCAGTGTTTGGCAAATATGAGTCCAATCTTAATAAAGTTTCGTTGGGCAGTGTTCGGCAAATATAAAATTATTTATATATATATATAATTGTGTGTGTGTGAGTGTGTGTGTATTTAACTTCACAGTCTTTATGTGTATATGTGTGCATAAACATATATGATTGTGTGCATGTATGCACATGCAAATACATATCAGCATAAATAGCATACTTTATAAATGATTTTCAACTGCATTTTATGTTCTTGAATAGCTCATGTCAGTTCAATTAGTTAATAAGCTGAAAACAACTAAGATTTTTTTGGCTTGATTGTTTAACAGGTTACCGGAACAGCACAAAAATGGTTAGACTCTGCTCATTGCATCTCTACTTTGTCCAAACCCCATTTTCCTTTTTTGTAAATCAGCTCTTGAGGACATATTCACATTTTACTATTTCGCTTATAACAAATTTATGTATTGTTGGGATAGGTCAATTATTTCTACCTTTGAGCTCATGGATAAACTAATCTCTCAGTTGAACTCCTTCTGACCAGCATTTTTCATCTCCTAATAGTCTATTATATATTAAAATTTCTAAATCATACTCCATTTAATGGAGGATAACATTCAAGTGAAAGAACCAAAAAATTTATAAACTTATTATGGTTTGTGTGGTAAGGCTTGAAATACCCACAACTTTATAAATAAGATATTTTGTAATTTGGTTAAATGATTCTCATTTAACATTTAACATGAAATATAATTTTAAAGTATATAGAATTCAATGTTATAATTAGAAGGTAGCTTGTTAACATCCAAATAAATTCCTATTTAATGCATGCAA